CTGCACGGAATCGAGGTTGGGGCGGAGGAAGAGGTAGTGGAGCGGGCGGTGAAATGGGGAGCCGATATCAATCGGAAGGGAAGGAAAGGGAGAGGGCGGCCTCCTGAGGAAGCGATTGGAAAGAGAAGGGCGTGAGACCGGAACAGGGAGGAAAAGGGAGGGAAGAATTTGTAGGTTGGTAGCAAGTGGTTGAGGCATAGCTAAATAAGACGCGATAACATTAATGTGAAGAATGAATGGATTAATATGGCTACAGTAACGATAGGGTAAAGAAATAAACCATCGAGGCTTATGGCAACGCCACAAAATTTGAAGCACAAGGGCAGGGACCTCTGTCTCCTTGTGCTGTACATGCTTTCTTCCCTCCTCCTACTCCGCTGACGACCCTCTAAACTCCCATCCCTTCTCATTCGACCAGCCAGTCCCCAAGTTCCTGGACGTGTGAGCAGGGTACCGCACGCCGTACAATTTCTGACCACCTGGGAAGACACGAGGATGAGGGATGTAGGGACACGGGCCAAAGCGAGTGAGGATTCCACAAAAATTTAAAGCACCTCGTCTCGAGCGGTCTCTCGTACGTACATGCCAGGTTTGCTTCCACCTTCCCCTCCTCCCCCTCCCCCGCCAAGACCCTCTCCTCCCGGTCCCCCTTTCCTTCCCAGGACAGAGAGCATGACAAGGGCCTGCGCGTTCCCAACCAGCACCAGGTGACGTCGAGCACGCGTAATGGCAACGTTTAGTCTGAAACGAAGAAAACGGTGGGGTACAGATGGTACGGGTGCGTGAGTTCGAGGCACCCAGAAGGGAAGGAAGGGGGGTAAGAAGGAGAGGTACCGATTGGGGCTGTCGAGGAAGCCGAGGCCGCCGGTGCGGACGCAGGAGTATAGAATGACCTCCCGTTCGGCGCCTTGGAAAGCATCGACGGTCGAGACCTTGACATGGCTGGGGGGAGCACCGCGCCTCGAGGGGGGCAGGAGGTTTTTCTCCTGGGAGGGTAGGATGTAGAAAGTCAGGAACGAAGGGGGAAATAACGAGGACGGAGAAGGGGCGAGTGAAGGATCTTTTGGGTATAAAGGAAGCGGATTAGGAATGAAGGAAAGGTAGAGCTGAACCTTTTCCAAACTTTGACCAATCACTTATGTCCCACCTTCATCATTCGCATGATCAGAGTCGCTTGAGCTTTGTAAGGAACAATGATGCCTGTTGGAGGAAAGCAGGGAGAAAGGGAAAGAGTCAGAGACATCTGATGGCCAAGATAAGACAAACAAACAAAACGACCTCCCTAAAACTCATATATTGGGCGTCTGCAAGGTCCTGGTCCTGGCATGGAGCGAGTAAAAGCGCCTTGATTGCCACTCGTTGTAGAAAGGTACGACACGCACCAATGTCATCTGGTTCCAAGACTTTCCGCTGCCGCACGCCCTTCCTTTCTTCATTTCCCACCCCTTCCCCATCCATACGTCCTCCGTCCGGCTGTTCCTCCCACCCTTGTCGTGTCTGTACGGCTAGAAGCCATTGGAGTGCCTGCACAACGATAGCGGCCTCTGCGATGTTTTGGTAACTCTCACCACCAGCCTATGAATAGCAAGACGAGGGCGAAAAGGAGGAAAGTAAAGTATGAGGGGTGGGGAGTAGAAAACAAAACCGAAAGTGTGAGAGAGGAGGCAGGCATGGCGAGGAATGCGGCCCGAAGGTTCGAAGAGTGTCAATCCTCATCAAAGGACATAAAACTCCCAGCGTGGTAAGGGAATGACAGGTCGCGTCGTCCCATGGGCCCATACTCCCCGTGCTCGCACTGTCCTTCCCCTTCCTTCCCTCCCACCCTCCATCTCCCCTACCTGCTGCTCCGAGCCGTGGGGCACGTCAATCCAGACCAAAGGAGGCAAGCGGCCGACCACGGGGCCCCGATCTTCCCGGTTGATGCCGTCGCGAAGCTGGACAAGGAGGAAAAGGAAGAGAGGGTCAGGGAGGAAGGAGAAAAACGTAGTGCCTGGGCCAGGGAGCGTCCAGGATGTGCTTGAAAGGATCGACCTTTAGGAGAAAAACGAAATGGAAACGAACGAAAAAAGAAGCAAGGGAGGCAGGGAGATAGGAGGAGAAGGCGGGCCAATACCTGCCCCTGGTAGAAAAGGTCGGAGGCAAGTTTGCTCAGGGTGGGGTGACACCGGTATTGTGTGCGTAGCACTATTGGAGGCATCGAAGGGGACGACAAACGCTGGAAGAGAGGACGCACGAGGTGCGCACCGAGGGAGGGAGGGGCAGAGGAAGGGTTCGAGGTAGGCGGGGCGTCGCGGGCATGCATGTTGACCGGAGGAGGGAGCTGCTGGGGGTCTCCGACCTGTGGGAGGAGAGGGTAGGGCGGGCCCGACAGATTATTTGCCAACTCATTGCGCCTCCTAGGGTAGGGCGGGCCCGACAGATTATTTGCCAACTCATTGCGCCCCCTCGCCTTTCTTTCCCGTTTATTATCCCTGCCTACATTGTTCCTATTTCCCTCTTTTCCTTCCAGACACCGACCAGGATGAGGCGCGAGGCACCGCCAGCCGCCAGAAGAGGGAGGAGGGTCAAGGGCTCCATGAGCTGAGAGGCCTCGTCAATGATGACGAAAGGAAAACCTGGAGGTACACCCGAAGGAAGGAGGGAAGGAGGGAGAGGAAGACGGAAGAGAAACGAGGGACGGAGTGGTAGAATGCGTTGGACTCATGTTCGTGGAGGAAGTAGCACAGGAGGGCGGGAGGAGGGGTGAGGTAGTAGCAATGTGGCAAAAGCAACACACAGAAGAGAAGGTCACAGGAAAAGAGACAAGAAAGAGAAATTGGGGTAGGAGAGCGAATAAGGAAGCGAGGACCAGAGGGAAAGAGGGGGAAAGGGAAAGGAGGGGGGGCACACCTGCTCCTGTGGCTAGTACAGCTTGGTGGAGGGTGGGAAAGCAAGACGCAATGGTGGCACCGGCGATCCTTGCGGAGGCGAAGCGTTGGTTTTGCTGGGAAGGAGACTAGAGGGAATGAGGGAGGGAAAGAGGGACGGGAGGAGGACCAAGACCCGCCGGCATGAGTGCACATCAAAGGGCTTGCCAGTCAGTATGCGTCCCGGAGCCGGGAGGGGCAGGGACCGCATGGGGAGGGAAGGAGGGAAAGAGCAGTGAGCAATCAGTGCACCTGTTGGGAAGAGGGGACAGAGGAGGAAGCGGTAGCGGAGATAGAGGAGGCGGTGGAGTCTGACGCCGCGTAGAGGTATGGAAGGAGGGCAGGGTTCGAGCGCTGAGAAGAGCCGATGCGGGTGAGGCTCGTATACCTTGTCAGGAGGGGTAAGAAAAAGGAGAAAGTGAGCACAAGAAAGCGGAATAGGGAGTTAGAGGATTTAAAACAACCATGAGAGGAGAGAGAGAGAGGGAAAGAGTGAGAGGGAGGAAGACTGAAAGAGAAAGAGGGAGTGGGAATGAGAGAGAACGAGAGAGAAAGAGATAGACTTGGAGGAATGATGTAACAGTGGGATTAAGGTTGGGAAAGGGCCAAAAATGAAAGGAAAGAAGTGTTTCCGACCGAGCGGGTGCAAAGAGGAAGAGAGGGAAAGAACGAGGGAAGGAGGGAGGGAGGGATGTGGGAATGGGAGGAGGCAGGGGAAGTAAGGAAACGTACCCTTTCTCAAGAAGCTGCACGAGGATATTGTCCACCGCGACATTCGTGGCGCTCGCAATGAGGACCCGAAAGTCACTCTTCTTTCCCTCCCTCTCTCCATCCCGCCCTCCGTCCCTTCCTCCCTCCTCCCGCCGCCGCCAGCCCTTCATCAGCCCCCCCCGGCTCTCTCCTTCCAACTCCTCTTCCTCCTCTTTTCCCCCTCGGTCCAGGCGGAGGCGGTTGGAGAGTTGATCGAGGAGGAGGCACAGGGCCACCAGCATGTGACTCTTCCCGCTCCCAAAGACCCCGTGGACGAG